TAGGAACCAGCAGTTGGCATAATGGCTACGTTGCTGGACTCCCACATAATTGACTGTAGTTCGAGTCCTGGACCTGGTGGCACCGGGCATGTGTGCGTGAGTGCCCAAGATTCCAAGAGAACGGAGGAGAAGGGTTGCTTTCTGTCTCTCTGTCTTTCTCTGTCTTTCTGGTGAGCGCATGTGCCCTATAGCAAAAAACTCTCCCACTCCTCCCACCTCCCCTCCAAAAAAACTCATTTCATTCTTGGGACAACAATGAGGCAGATAATAATAATGTTCTTTGGCAGATGAGGAAACTGGGGCACAGGGAAGTTAAGTCTCTGGGCTAAAGTCACATAGCTATTAACAGCTAGTAAGTGGAAGAGCCAAGATCTGAACCCAAGCAATCTGGCTCCAAGGGATCAATAACTCTTCTTCTTCTCTTTTTTAAAAAGAATTATTTAATTTTATTTATTCATTCATTTTATTTTAATTTGACCAGAGAGAGACACATGCAGAGAGAGAGGGAAAGTGAGAAAGCAAGCCACCAGGTCCAGGACTCTAACCACAGCAGGCCATGTGGGAGTGTCCAGCGCCTTAACCACTATGCCACCTGCTGGCCGTGAGATCAATTCTTAATCACTAAACATCTTGGTTTTTGTTATTTATTTATTTATTTTTGGTGAGGTTTTTGCTATAGGGCGCATACACTCTCTCCAGAAAGACAGAGAAAGACAGAGAGACAGAAAGCAAGAAATCACCCCCCCTGGGGGGATGGCCACGCCACAATCCCTTCTCCTCCATTCTCCTCTCGGGATCTTGGGCACGCACGAACATTCACTTGGCATGAGTTTAAGCAACTGGGTCCGGGACTTGAACCACGGTCAACTACATGGGAGTCCAGCGACATGGCCATTACGCTAACTGCTGGTCCCAGTTTTTGTTATTGTTGTTATTGTTTGTTTGAAGGGGAGGAGGTCTGGACAGGAATAGAAGGCTGTGGCTCTCTTCAGTGGGTGAGGATCAGGGGTACTGGGCTAAGGTCTCTATCCAGTCCTGGTTGGCTCTGGGGTGTGTGAGGCTTCTGAGAGCTTGTCCTCCCGGTCTTTGATGATGGAGTGGAAGGACCCAGAGTCTTTGTTTCTTCTGACCCTCTGTCTCCACCAAACTATCAGTTTTTTGCCAGAGCCTGGGCTTCTCCCACAGGGCAAATGGCACAGATGGATCCTCTTCCCTGTGTGGGTCTGTGCTATCCTAGCCTCTCCCACCGCCTGCCATCTCCCAGGGGCCCAGAGACTAGGCAGTGACCACAGACCACGGCCTGCTCCTAGCTGGGTCTCAGATGCAGAATAAGCAAGGAGTAGCCTGCAGGTCAAAGAGCTGGCTCCTCCTCCAGCAGCGGCCTTCCCCTGCCACAGATCCAGGGCATTCTCAGAGGATGGCTCAGCTGGAACCCCAAGAAGGAAAGCAAAGTAGACACATCAGTGGCCATTGGCTCAGCCCTGGGCCTCTGAGGGTGGTCCTGGCAGAAGAGTTTCTGCCTTCTGAGCACCTAATGGAAGGTGTTTGCCTCAGTTCAGCCAGCCCTTCCGATATGCAACCATGACCCAAGCAGGTAATCTCACTTCTGGTGGGATTCCTGCCCTTCTTTGACCCTGTGCCCTGATACCAGACCCTCCCCCATACTGGGTCCCTGTTTCTCCTCCTTATGATCTGAAGGTTGAGTGAGGTGGGCAGGGGGATGGGATGTTAAGGCCCTCTGTGAGCCCATGTTCTCTGGGTCTCTAACGCAGGTTTCCGAGAGAGTGCTTTTGCCTACGCCATTGCAGCAGCGGGTGTGGTGCATGCAGTTTCAAATGCGTGTGCCCTGGGCAAATTGCGGGCATGCGGCTGCGATGCATCTCGTCGTGGGGACGAGGAGGCCTTCCGTCGGAAACTGCACCGCCTGCAGCTGGATGCGCTGCAGCGCGGAAAGGGCCTGAGCCATGGGGTCCCAGAACACTCAGCCTTACCCCCTGCCACTGCCAGCCCAGGCCTGCAGGACTCCTGGGAGTGGGGCGGCTGCAGCCCAGACGTGGGCTTTGGGGAGCGCTTCTCTAAAGACTTTCTGGACTCCAGGGAACCTCACAGAGACATCCATGCACGCATGCGGCTCCACAACAACCGAGTGGGGAGACAGGTGAGAGCCCCGTCCCAAAGGCCAGCTCCAAACCCCTCTTCCTATGGCCTATCCAGCTTCCATGCCTACCTGCTGCTGGGGACCACGCTGCTTGCTTTCCCAACCAAGCAGCCTTCTCATGGCTTCCTCCTAACTCTGTTAGCAAATGCACATTGCCTAGCTGCTGAGGGCCAGACCTCCCACTGGCCTGCTGATACTGGGATGAAGTCGCTCCTGTTTTGATTGTGCACATCCCCTGCAGAGCAATCTCTTCCTCATCTTTCCTCTGTGATCGCCAGGAGGAAGGACTGGGCTGTCTTTCAGGACTTCAGGAGTCTAGTTCACCCTTTCTCATCCCCTATAGAGCGAGAGGGTTGAACAAGATCATCCATAAGTTCCCTTCAGCTCTAAGGTTCCACAGTTCTGCGAGCTCCTCTCCCAGCCTTTCTGTGCAGTCTAGATTCCTGCAAAGTGGCGGGTCTACATGAAGTTCCCAGGGGTCCCTGGGGAACTGGCTTATGGTTGCCTTCCTCCTTTCTCCTCTGCCCTGAAATGCTTATAGCATCTCAAAGATCATTTATTAAAAACAAGCTAAATAAATAAATGAAAAGAAGAAAGTAGGAAAGGGAACTGTAGCCTATATTATTGAGTGCCTACTATGTGTTCGAAGCTATCCCGAGCACTGCAGATGAGCTCATTTAATCCTTCCCACTACCTGAGAGGGGGTCACTGTCGCTAACCTCATGCTCAGATCTGGAAACTGAGGCACAGATGGACTCACAAGCTTGTCCGAGGTGATGTAACTAGAGAGAAAGTGGTAGAGGCAGGATTCGTCCCCTGTCAGCTGAGCTTTTGTTCTGTGGTGTGGAGTCTACACTGTGTGCATACATACTACACATAGAGTCTACACAATGAAGCCTCACGGGCTCTGGTCGTAGCCCTACACCTTCTTTTCCTGGTTACTCCGTCCCCACCCCTCGTCTTGACCCTGCCCAGCCTGCTCAGCCCTTACTCCCAGCTTCCTCTCACTTTGGTCGGCCTCTTCTCCATCTCATCTCTTTTCATGGTCTCTCAGCCCACTCCACAGGACTATGAGCTGCTTCGGCAGTTCACATCTTGACTGGGAGGTGGGTAAACTAAGGCACCCCCCACCCTCAGGTCCTGTCCAGCTCCCACTGTGCCCTGTCCTGCCCATGTAGCTCTTACTCCAAGCTTTGATACCATCTCAGGCACCAAAGGTGCCTCTTTTACCTCCTCCTCCTTCTCCTCCTCGTTAAAGGGGCTAATTAATGGCTGCTGCCTGTGGGAAGCAGATGTTCTGGAGGAGGTGGGTAAACTAAGGCACCCCCCACCCTCAGGTCCTGTCCAGCTCCCACTGTGCCCTGTCCTGCCCATGTAGCTCTTACTCCAAGCTTTGATACCATCTCAGGCACCAAAGGTGCCTCTTTTACCTCCTCCTCCTTCTCCTCCTCGTTAAAGGGGCTAATTAATGGCTGCTGCCTGTGGGAAGCAGATGTTCTGGAGCTGCTGGCCTGGGGAGGGCATGGGGCTG